AACATATAAAAAAAAAATTATTTCATAATTTAAAATATTTAATATTATTATTCTAAAATTGTGAAAAAGTAGATGTGTACAAATTTTTGACTATTTTATTTACACACATAATTTCAAACAAGCATGCAATCTAATGCATTGTGGCATGTGTGTCCTTGTATACAATAACATGCAAGCTAATGCAGTAGATTTGTAAGATCTTATTTTTCTTACACTTCCTTTTTTCTCTTTCGATTTAGGGAACACAGGAAACACTTTCCGGATTGATCCTGTTTTGGGCATCATCTCATTGGCTCGGGAGCTGGACCTGTCCAACATTGGTCACTACGTTTTGTCTGTCAAAGCAACGGATAACGGTTTTCCGGCATTGTCTTCAACAGCTGTCGTCCGAATCGCAGTCACCTTGTCTGATAATGCTGGTCCTAAGTTTCCCCAAAGTGAATACCAGGCGGAAATATCAGAAGGTGTTGCCATTGGAACTTCAGTCATCACCGTGAACGCTCTAAGTCTGTCCACCCTTACCTATGACATTCGCCACGGCAATGGTCATCGGACATTCCGTATCAACCAGTACAGTGGAGTGATCACAACGCAGAAAACTCTAGACTTTGAAACAGTTTCCTCCTACGTGCTAATAGTCACTGCAAGCAACATGGCTGGACAGGCCTCAAATGCTACAATAACTGTTACAGTTCTCGACCAAAATGATAATGCACCGGTGTTCCAACTGCTGCGTTACCATGGAAGTATCAGTGAAGGTGCTGGGCTTAACAGTGTTGTGCAGAGTGACAATGGACAACCACTAGTCATACGAGCAAGCGACACTGACCGCAACCATAATGCCCTGTTGGTGTATCAGATCATGGAAGAATCTGCCAGGCGATTCTTTGCAGTAGATGCCGGTACTGGCTCCATAAGGACAATTGCTCAGCTTGACCATGAAACCACACCTACATTCAGTTTCCATGTTAACGTCCGAGACAGTGGACATCCACAACTCTCAGCTGAGCATCCTGCAGAAGTGACCATTGAGGTGCAAGATGTTAACGACTGCCCACCTAAGTTTTCCCAGGATTCCTATGAAGCTGTCCTTTTGCTCCCAACTTATGAAGGCGTGGAAGCCCTAAAGGTTTCTGCTACTGATACCGATGGTAATGGCCAGTCAGACCTCACCTACTCATTGACAGATGGCAGCATAGAACATTTCAGCATTGAGCCAAGCACTGGACTGTTGACTGTGAGAAACAGTACTTTTAGCAAAGAACGATTCCGCTTCAACGTCCGTGTTTCAGATGGACGCTTCTCCAGCACCGCTCTGGTTACCGTCCTGGTGCATGAGGCTCTGGACAGTGGGCTGGCTTTTACTCACAATACCTACAATGCCAACATTGAGGAGAACAATGGTAACATAACAACAGTTGCTGTCGTTACAGCACTAGGGAACAAGTTGAACGAACCCCTGCGATATACTTTGTTGAATGCAGGTGGGAAATTTCGCATCAGGCCAACATCCGGTGCCATTGAAACTGTCGGAGTCCCATTAGACAGGGAGGAGAAGGAGGAATACGGACTTCTGGTACAAGCAGGCCGTGAGGAAGACCGTCTCCGTGTTGCAAGGGCGCTGGTCCGAGTTCAAGTCACCGATGTCAATGACAATTCTCCAGTTTTTGTTGGATTGCCATACTATGCTGCTGTGCAAGTGGAAGCAGAGCCTGGGACAGCAATATTTCAAGTGACAGCAGTGGACCGGGACAAAGGACAAAATGGGGAGGTGAACTACTTTCTGCAGGATGAACTGGGACATTTCGAAATGGATCGTGTGAGTGGCGAACTTCGCCTATGGAGAGTTTTCGGGGCAGATCTCTCCAGTGTGGAATATCAGGTTCTGGTGTTTGCCCGTGACATGGGAACACCACCTCTTTCTTCTTCAGTCACCTTTCCCGTTACAGTGGTAAACAGAGCAATGCCAGTGTTTGACCGACCATTCTACTCAGTGAAAGTGAGCGAAGACATACCAATATGGACTCCAATTCTGGGAATAAACGCCAGCAGCCCTGAAGGCCAGAGTGTCCTTTACACAATCACACACGGTGACCCAGGAACACTCTTCTCCATTGGATTTGACACAGGTGTTATCAGTGTCATCTCTGCCCTCGACTATGAGACCAGCCCTTCCCACAGACTCATCGTCAGAGCAACAGACTGCCTCACAGGCGCTCGTGCAGAAGTGGATGTTGAAGTTACTGTTTTGGATGTCAACGACAACCCTCCAGTCTTCGAGCAGCCCTCGTACAAAGCTGTAATTTCAGAATCTGCCATGATTGGCACTGCAGCCTTGCAGGTTCTCGCAACAGACAGCGACTCTGAGAAAAATGCAGCTGTCCGATACCAAATCATTCCAGACCGTGCCAACAGCACTGACCACTTCCACATCGACAGCAGCAGTGGTCTAATTCTGACAGCTCGCTCCCTGGACCATGAGACCATCCAGCACTATGTGTTTCTTGTCAAGGCAACAGATAATGGCTTTCCCCCATTGAGCACCGAAGTTTGGGTCACAGTCAATGTCATGGACACAAACGACAATGATCCAGTGTTTAACCAACTGCTCTATGAAGCCTCTGTCAGTGAGTTGGCACCCAAAGGGCACTTTGTTACATGCATCCAGGCCTCTGATGCAGACCGTTCAGATGCAGAACGCTTGCAGTATGGCCTGGTGTCTGGAAACGAAAGGATGCTGTTTGAGCTTGATGCCGCCACCGGTGTCCTCACCCTGAGTGGCCAGCGACGCATGCTGCGCATGCCTTCCACCATCACCCTAAATGTAAGCGTTTCCGATGGAGTGTTTACCAGTACAGCACAAGTACACATTCGGGTAGAGCGAGCAAATCTACATGCCCCCCAGTTCACCCAGGGCATGTGCGAGGCCGATGTACGGGAGAACGCACCAGTGGGATCAAAGGTCATTGCAATCAGGGCACAAGATTCTGATCCTGGACCATTTGGGGATGTGAGGTATGTGCTGCTATCAGATGCTGCTCGGGATTTGTTCAGTATTGATGGCAGTGGACAAATAACGACACTTGAACGTCTGGACCGGGAAGAACGAAGTGAGATGGTGCTGTCCATTGCTGCTGTGGATGCAGGTGGCCGATCTGGATATTGCAGTGTCCGGGTCACCGTACTAGATGAGAACGACAATGCTCCACTGTTTGGCGCCTCGGAGTACCATGCAAGTGTGCGATCTGAGGTTGAACCTGGTACCCTTGTGACACAAGTACAAGCTTGGGATCTAGATCAAGGTGCCAATGGACAGGTGAGCTACAGTCTGTACAGCGAAGCCAGCCTGCAGGTTAATGAACTTCTGGATATCGATCCTGACAGTGGCTGGGTTGTCACCAAAGGCAACTTCGCCCCTTTGCGTGGATCTGTGCTGTCCTTTTTTGTTAAAGCCTCTGATGGAGGTGCACCTGTTAGACATTCCCTTGTGTCTGTCTACATACACGTTTTGTCTGCCAATGCCCACATACCTTCCTTCAGCCAACCACAGTTCTCCTTTACTGTGCCAGAGGACATGCCCATTGGTTCCGTGCTGGGAGCAGTGCATCTACACACCTCAACTAGCCACTCTTCCTTACCAGTGAGCTTCTCAGCAGTGATCGGACAGACTCTAGAGAGTAACAGTGATGGAGTGTTTGTGGTTGACAAAGAAACCGGCATGATCAAACTAGACAAAGCACTGGACCGAGAGCTGACAACGGCCTATCATTTCAAAGTGATGGCAATGTTGCAGCAGGGACGTTTAGACGCAGTTTTGGCCATAGATGTGGAGGTCAAAGTACAAGATGTCAATGACAACAAACCATCGTTTGAGTCGGATAACTATGAGGCATCAGTCACTGAGGGTCTTTCTCCTGGGACTAGGATTCTGCAAGTGCGAGCTTTGGATCCTGATTGGGCAGCTAATGGTCAGGTGACTTACAGTCTTGCTCCACCTGGGTTGCTTGGTGGCTCCGGTGGGGAAGACATTGAAGAGCATGGAGCCTACTTTACGATTGACAGCAGCTCTGGTTGGATATCAACACTGAAAGGGCTGGACCATGAACAGAACCCCGCCCATAGTCTTACAGTCTGGGCATTTGACCTTGGAGATCCTGCTAGCCAGTCATCCTCAACAACAATTACTATAGCAGTGAGCGACTCCAACGACAACATACCACAATTTCTTCAGCCCCGTTACTATGGAAGTGTACTTGAGAGTGATGCACCTGGTGAAGTGGTGGCAGTACTGAACACACGGGACAATGACAGCTCACCTGGAAACCGACAAGTCACCTATCATGTTACAGGTTAGAACTTTTGAAACTGGCAAAAATTGATGTACACTGCATGACCTTCCACCTTCTTAATTATCTTTTTTGTCTAAGTTTCCAGTTAAAATATTGAAAAACCTTTGACATAATTTACATTTCTTGAGAAGCAACACTACATGAGATATTTAAAGGGGTCATCGAATGCATATTTTCCACAAGTTGATCTAATTCTTTAGGGCCTTAATGAGAAGTCTATAACATTCTTTGTTTAAAATATCTCAATTGTAGTGTAAAAACACATTTTTTACCCTGTCAAAATCAGCTCTGTTTTCAGCAAGCCATTCTAGTCCATGTTGCTTTAAATTCTAATGAGCTCTGCTGACCCCGCCCCCCTCTTCCGTGGGGTGACGAGCAGACTGTAAACTTCACCCGCGAAACTGGCTAACTAGCACGTTATTGGGAAAGGCGATTTGCAAAGATTCATTAAAAAACCTTATACTCACTTCTTCTGTTGATGAAGCTGGATCACAAAGGATTCGTGCGAATATAGACACATTTAGGCAGTTTGGGATCGGCGCATTCCCTTCAAAACGAAAGTAACGTTAATCCCCTGCATCTTCAGCGGCTCAGATGTCGGGAGTAAATGACGACTGCTATATTCATTATTACATCCAACAACAAAACACCTCAATCGCTTAGTCGGAGACATTCTTGTCTTCCCCTGCACCGGAGTCGACACAATGGCAGATTGATGACAGCTCACTCAGAGCGTTTCTAAGGTAAGATGCTAGTGTCAATCAACTATTGTGGGAGGGGCCTGTGCAGAACTACGTCATTCTGACAGGAATCTCAGAACAGCCTGATTTGAGATAGGGGATTTTAAAATAGGGATTTAAAAAAAAACACTGGGTGGATTTTTATCATTATAGGATGGATGTGTACACACACATTTATGTTCAAACAACTTGTAAAGTGAATTTTGCATCCGATGACCATTTAAAGGGATAGTACAGATACAAATTTAAAACCTGTCATCATTTACTCACCCGCATGTCGTTCCAAACACAAAAGAAGATATTTTGAAAAATGTCTTGGTGTTTTTTGTCCGTCAATGGGGAACAGTGTTGTTTTGGACACTCTTGACTTTCATTGTACGGACAAAACAACTGAAACTTTCTTCAAAATGTCTTTCTTTCTGCTGTGAAACAATCAAATCATATGGGTTTTGAATGACATGTAAATGATGACAGAATAATTTTTAAATGCAAAATATGCCTTTAAGACTTCTTTCAGAGTACATTTTTTATGTTATATATAATAGTTGTTCGGCTGTTTTCGCTTGTTTTAAATGTAAAAAAGTTAAAATAAAGTAAAAAAAAAAATCTACCAGTGCTATATGACAAAATACAAATAAAAAGATACATTCTCAGATAACAAGTCTTACTATATATATATA